ATGGGTAATGAGACCAAATGTGGCAGGAATGACAGGGATGCCTGCTTGGGCTACAGCAGGTTGGCTTCTCCACCTGTGTAATGATGTCATTATTATTGTTGATCAGTGTAATTAATAGAACTGCTGCAGCCACGGATTAGCAATGGGCGGGGGAGATTTTGCGTTCGTATTTTATACAAAAAGAGTTTAATATTTGAGATTAATGTCTGCTTGGGAATGTTCATCATCTTTTAAACACAGCGCCCATCCTGCTAATAAAGATGGGCCTGGCTGATTGTTCACTCGCTTGCAGAGGAGGTTTGAATTTTTTGAAACCAGCATTCCACCCGTTTTAACAAGGGAGAATAGCTCTGACTTTTCTGTCTGAATCCTTTGGGTCCAGGAGCAATGACATGCCTTCTGCTGAGCTCATCGAGTGCAAGTGCAGGTGTCCCAAGTTTGTGGGGTTGGCCTTTGCCAGCCAGCTGGGCTGTGAGCCCTTTTCCAAAGGATCCAGCACTTTGTGTCCTGGGCCAGGGACAAAGCTGATGGGTGCTGTACAGCTGCAGCTGACAGCGTGTGGACCAGGCTTTTGGAGATGGCATTGAGGTGGACAGGTGAAAGTAATTCCAGCTGCTTCTCTTGGAGAGAGCAAGCGAGAGCCTGAAGAGGCTGGTTCCCTAACAGGAAGCAGGAACGCGCATGGAGAGTTGTCAGCCCAGCAGTCCTGTCCAGGCCATACTTCCAGAGTGTGTGGAGTTATAGGAAGCAGACTCCAGGAAACCTCTTTCTCAGGCTTTCTGCTGTCATCCTTGGCCTTCACATCACCTTGGCATCTTCTGTTTAGAAAATGCCTGGGGCCTCCTAGCCAATCTCCTCCTTCACTTCCAGCTTGCAGCAGAATCACTTTGTCCGTTTGGCCTGGCCTGTATTTTCCACATGGGTTGTCCCGGCCAATATCCGCCATCAGTAAAGTTCTTTTCATCGAATCATAAATCAGTGGAGGGAATAAACACACAAAACAAAACCCACGCCGTTCGACTTCGTGGGTTTGTGTTGGATGGGCGTGAAGGGAAGGAAGGTTGATTCAAATTGGGACAATACTGAATTCACTGACCATTTGTTGATTGACTCGCATGTTCTGCGTGCTGGGAGGTAAGGATGCTACAGTTGGTCGTCCCTTTCAAAAATAATGCTCTGGGGTTAAAGAAAAAGTTACTTTCTCTGAGGTAAAGCTGACTTCGACTCTAAGTGGAGACACTTCTGGACCTCGCACTTAGCTGTTCTTGGGTGTGTGGAGTAGGCACAAAGGGGCGGCATTGATGTCTTTCTTGGTGACTCATGTGATTACTCCATTGTTTGAAGGGCTGGATGTTATGTAATCAACATTTGATCCGCTCCCCCCCCCCCATTTTTCCCTCTTAACAATCTGGGATTTTCCATCATTTTGTCAACCTTCCTGGAGGCATGTTGGTTTTTCCACTAGATTACTAGATGTTTGGGGGCATTGTCCCAGGGCAGCCCAGACTCTCCACTCCCTAGACCTTCAGATTCACCCTCCGTGGCAGGGCCTGGGGAGCGGCTGCAGTGAACCCTTCTGTCCTTTCAGGGCAAAGCTGGACCCCAAGCTGGTTCCTGACGGCAACCCCCAAAGCAAACCAGAGGGCAAGTGCTGGCTCTCCTTTCTTATAATGTAGTTTCCATTCATTTTGATATTCAGAGGCAGTATGTTTGCTCCTTTTTGCAGAGGTCATCTATTGCCGTCTTTTCCCCTTCTGTGTTTCCATTTTATTCAGCCAATAACACATTCTATGTGTCCAGGGAAGTTTTTTAAGTGGCCAGGGTTTAGAGATGGCTAGTCGAGGAACTTCTGCAGTAGCCGTGCCTGGAACTCAGCCATTGAATAAGTCAGTTTCGTATGATACACTCCAGATTCAGGGTGAGGAAGAGGGCTTCTGGAAATTACTGCAATAAAGTGTAATCACTGCCTAAAGATCACGGACGGGATGGCTGGTAGGAATTCTCAGGTCATTTCTTTGCTGGTTGGCTTTTATATAGGAACTTGTGCCTGCGTTGAATGCAGAGAATTTTTACCTTGAGCCATATTTGTGGATCTTTGCTTTGAACCTGTTCTCCAAGTACTAGAGGGATTGGACATAGAGATAAAAATACAGATGGATGTAGCCAAAGACGACATGTTTGCAAATGTACAGATTTTGATACCTTACTCTTCCTCGCCACCTACAGAAATCAGGTTTTATAGATAGTACCTCCCATACGCACTTCAACTTTGTCCACCTACTTTATCTGTAACACCGTCTCCCTACTCAAAGCCACCATAATCTTTCACTGCAACTAATGCAATAACTTTTTACCAAATTTTCCCACCTCTGTTCATAGTCACTGCCTCAGCCATTCTTTACAGAACAGCTAAGGTGATCTCTCTCTCTCTTTTTTTTTCTCCTTTTTTTTTTTTTTTTTATTATGGTAAAATACACCTAACGTAAAATTCACCATCTTAACCATTTTTCAGTGTACAGGTCAGTGGTGTTACAGACATTCTCAGTGTTGTACAGCTGTTGCCAGCATCCACCTCCGGAACTCTTTCCATCTTGTGAAACTGAAACTCTGTCCCCGTTAAACTCCCCCGATCCCTTTCTCCTTCCAGGCTCTGGCAGCTACCTTTCTGCTTCCTGTCTCTGTGAATTTGATTACTCTGAGTACCTCATATAATTTGTCTTTCTGTGATTGGCTTATCTCACTTAGCGTAATGTGTGGGTTCGTCCCGCGGAGTAAGACCACATTGCGTGTATACACTAAATTTTGCGTATCCATTCATCTCTTGATGGCCACTTGGCTTTGCCTCCACATTTTAGCTATTGTGAATAATGCTGCTGTGAACAGAAGGATACGAATCTCTCTTTAAGACCCTGTCTCGACTCTTTCGGGTCTGTAGAGAACTCCTAAAACTCAACAACAACAACAAAAACCTCAGCAACTCTGTTAAAAATGAGCACAGTCTTGAATAGACCTTTCTCCAAAGAAGATACAAAGTTGGCCAGTAACCACATGGAAGGATGCTAGACATCATTAATCATTAGGGAAATGCAAATCAGAACTATAGTGTGGGGCCACTTCACATCCATCAGGACCCCTTAACAGATTCTGCGCTTGTCTATTTCCTCTCTCAAACAACTGTCCTTGGGGGTTCTCTGCTCCCACTGCATTCATTTTTTTGATACTAAAACAGGCAAAGTTTCCCCCATTTCACAGCCTTTATTTGTGCTTCTCCCCCTTGTCTAGGACTATGGTCATCAGGATCCCCTGGATTGTGTGTTAAAAGCACAGATTTCTGGGCTTCCCCCTCTCCCCCAGAGGTTCTGATTCAGGAGGTCTGGAGTGGGACTGATATTTGCATGTGTAACAATTTCCACGTGATGATGATGCAGCTGGCCTGGGGACCACCCTTGGAGAACTACTGGTCTAGAGTACTTTCCTTTTTTAAACTAGTATGCATGGTTTAGATCTCTGGTCATGCACGTCTCTTCTCCTAAGGGAGACCCTTTCAGGTTCCTCCAGCCTTGACGGAATTTTTGTTTCACGTTAACATCTCATCTCCTGCTTCTCCTTTGAAGCCCTTATTGACCTCTTCGAATGTTTAATTGGGCAAATGGTTTTATAATGACTGAATCCCCTGCCAGAATCTGATAACCCAGCTCCAGGAGGGTAGGGATCATTTCTGTTTTCTCTTGATTCCTTACACATGACAAGTGCTCAGTTTTGTCGAATGAATGAATGTTGTTTCCTCTTCATAGGTAACTGGAAGTATGTAGTCACAATAACACTCTCAGTGAATGTGAAGTGTGAGTAGGGACTCTGGGTGAATTAATAAAGCTACACAGAAAGAATAAGCTTTTTTTTTTTTTTTTTTTTT